TTTGGGGTTTAGGGGTTTGGGTTTCAAAGGGTTTTTTCGGGTCTTTCACATGCATTAGACTTTCGTTCGCTGGGGTTTACGATTCGGGCTTGAGGGTTCGGCAAACAGCATTGTTGCTGGTGCTGTTGTACACGTGTGGGTTGAATGCTCCGAACATTACTGCTCTGATATGCTATGGCTCGGTCGTGGTCCTGGTCGGGACGTTGCGATGACGACTATCTTCGCCAATTGCAACTACCACTTCTACTGCTGCTGCTACCGCTCATGCTCCGGCTCCTCCTGCTGCTGCTACTACTACTTCTTCTACTACTACAACTACAACTACTACATCGACTACAACTACAACCTACTACTACTACTACTACTACGACGACGACTACTAATACTGCTGAGGAGTAGAAGTGGTAGAAGTGGAAGCGGCAGAAGCAGTAGTAGTAGGAGGAGGAGGACTAGGAGGAGCAGTCGTGGATGTGGTCGTCAACGTCAGAGTAGTAGCACGCAGTGGTGCCTCTAATATGTTGTGTATGGATTTGAGCTTGGGACTGAAGGCTCTTGGGTGTAGCTTTGGCTTGTTGCAGCGTGGAGGATGGGGCCCAAGCCGCGAAGTCAGGGTTTGAGGCTGAGGTTGAGGGCTGAGGAGTTGAAACCCCAGAGCTTCACAACCCTGGTGAAGCCCAAAGTACCCTTAACGAGCCTTCAATTCCTACCATCCTTCCCAACTTCCGGGTGAGACAATCACATCCAAGAAGCCAGCCGCAAAATCCGGCTTCAGGTGCTTGATTAGGGGCTTGCAGCTCAAGGGTTTAGAACCAAAAAAGCACCACCGGACCCAACCATCCCTGTTCCTTGAAAAGCCCCAAACTCCAAACTTCGACCCGCCTTGTTCTCGTCCAGCATCTCCTTAAGGGTTTAGGGTTTAGGGCCGTTTAGGGTGTAAGAGGCAAGGTGTGTAGGTGAGTGTGTGTGTGTGTGTGTGTCCAACATACCCTGTGGAGCTGCTCTCTGCAGCTAAGCCCGAATCTCGAACCCAGAGCTTGCCTATCAAGCTTCTCCCACCCTGTAGGCTTACACTGGGCTTACATATTACTAGGCGCTAGATTCGGATCCCTCCAACCAAAGTTGTAGGCTTTTCTTACACCAAGGCAGCAGTTGACAGCCCGCGATGTTTGCAGCGAATTGCTGCAGCACGAGCTTTAGGTTGCGGGAGGTTCGAGTTGAATTCATAGCGTGCAGATCCAGCTGTTGTCATATTGAGAGCAGCTGGTTCAAGTGGCTCTCGTTGGCCAGGCGGCCAAGCCAATAGTGAGCATCCTGGCTTGTCTGGTTCAGCTCCTCACTACTCCAGACAGCATCGTGCACGTTGTGCTGTGCAACCTGCAGCAAAGGTCGGATAGCTGCCAGCGTCGGGGCAAACAAGGGCGTCAAGATGGTGCAGACCAGCCGCCACGTCATCGTGTAACCGAGGAAGGTGTGGGGCGAGCCTGTATGGCGAGCCAAGTCACTTGGCACATGGATCTGGGAGGCTAAGACCTACATCGAGCGTCGAATCATTCAGGCATCATGCAAGTGAAACCAGCTGCTTTGCATATCCCCAATTAACGACCCGAAGCACCCAGAGTGAACCGGGTTTGCGGTTTGGTCATTAGCATGATGCATACTCCGCAACTTTGGCTGTGCTCTGGGATCGCCACTTGATTTCAATAAGCCCTGGATGCGTCGCATGCTCAAATTAGACTCGAAGCCCCGAACCCCCCATGCCGTGTAAGCCGGGACAACTTGACCTCTAGAGAGTAGCAACTCCACGCCTTCGGCTTCAATCACGGTCTTGAAGTCGTGAATCATACGGATGTGCCCCGCCTGAGCAGGATCAGGACTATGAAACCTTCAGGTTGCGTGAAGGACTTGAAGCTGCAGGAATGGCAAGGTCTTACCGCGCTGCGCTTTTAGGCTTCAGTACACCCAACGTCATAGACTTACCTTCATCCCTGACTCTCCTTGTACCCATGAGCTCGCCAACTTTGGGCGCTCAGTTCATCCAGCTGCGTCAACATCTTCAGGAAGAGATCATTCACCTGTGGGAGTTTGAGCTCATGGTTGGAAGGGTTTGGCAGGCGAGATGGCTCTTTGAACCAGTGAATCCGCACGGCGTCTAGCTTTAGTAGCTTCCTCACCGGTACTGGGTGTTTTTGGGCAGGAACCCACACGTCTGGAGCCGAAATGTTTTTGCTGTTGCTTTTGCTTTTGCGTTTGCGTTTGCGTTTGCGTTTGCTTATGCTTTTGCGTTTGCGTTTGCGTTTGCGTTTGCTTTTGTTTTTGCGTTTGCGTTTGCTTTTGTTTTTGCGTTTGCTTTTGCTTGTGCTTTTGCTTTTGCTTTGGCTTTGGCTTTGGCTTTGGGTTTGACTTTGGCTTTGGCTTTGGCTTTGGCTTTGGCGTTGGCGTTGGCTTTGGCTTTGGCGTTGGCTTTCGCTCTCGCTTTCGCTTTCGCTATCGCTTTCGCTTTCGCTTTCGCTGCTTTTGCTTTCGCTGCTTTTGCTTCTGCTGCTTTTGCTTTTGCTGCTGCTGCTGCTTTTGCTTTTGCTGCTTTTGCTTTTGCTGCTGCTTTTGCTGCTGCTTTTACTGCTGCTTTTGCTGCTGCTTTTGCTGCTGCTTTTGCTGCTGCTGCTGTTGCTGCTGCTGCTTTTGCTGCTGCTGCTGCTGTTGCTGCTGCTGCTGCTGCTTTTGCTGCTGCTACTACTGCTGCTGCTGCTGCTGCTGCTGCTGCTGCTGCTGCTGCTGCTGCTGCTTCTGCTGCTGCTGCTTTTGCTGCTGCTGCTTTTGCTGCAGCTGTTGCTGCTGCTGTTGCTGCTGCTTTTGCTGCTGCT